CTGGAGTTCCTGCATCAATGAGGAGCATGGAGACCCCTGCCATGGTGCCCCTGCCCTGGCACACTCCCAGAGGCTTATTTCCCAGAAAATTGTCAGCCCTCTTATGACCCCTGTATGCTGTGGGAGTGGCACGTGAGAAACAAGGCAGTGATCCTTTACCTTCATTTAAATACCAGTTTAAAAAAGCTATATGTGTTTCCCGTGTTTAAAGTGCTGTTTGGTACTTTTGGGGGAGAGAAGAAAAATTCCCCTGAGCAGATCAAGATATCTGTAGCTCTGTTTTATACTGGTGCTAGTCCAGCCAAGTTTATTTTCATCCATAGCTTTAATGGTGACCCCATCACCTGCCAATATAACAAACACTGAATTAAAAGGAAGCAGCGGCACATGTTGTACAGGACTGCTATGTGAATAACAAGCTTCCCCTATGTGTTTCTGTTAGACCTGTGAACTAGCCATTAAGGCACTTGCATCATGTTCCGAGCTCTCCACTTTCTGTGATATTAATGGAGCCACTTGAAACACAGAGGTTAAAATGATTTCAGTTTTGAAAATGAGCTGACGGGCACAACTTACTGGAACCGTGTAGCCCTGGTCCCAGTCTGAGTTTGAGCATGTGGTGTGCAACTCTGTTATGCCACTGTAAGAGCAATGGATAAGGCATGGCATTGGGAGCCAGGAGACATTGGCTCCATTTGTAGATCTAGTGCTAGCCTGCTGCATAACTTATACTAGAATGCCCCACAGCTCCATTTTCCTATCTATAAAATGGGAACAATACGTTGCTTTGTGAAATGATTTGAGAATCTACAAGAAAACTGTATCAGCTAAATGTTACATGAAAGAGGTATATCTGGAGGCAAATAACAGAATATGCCTTTTTGAGTCATTTTGCTGGAATAGCTTGTGCTCCTGAATATTTATAGATGACTGACTTTTGTTGTTGTTGTTTGCTTTTTAAAAACAAATCTTTTAGCTAACTAAGAGACCTGAATGAAAGAAGCAGTGTTCAGGGAAGCTTATTAATTTGTGACCCTGCCTGCAGAAAAGTGGATCAATAAACTAATAAGACATAAAACTAGTGTTTATAAATGATGGATACAAGCTTGGTCCCGTATTTCTCCTGCTGTTTAAAAGGAAACTTCCCACACTTGTGGCTTAGTTTAGCATCCGGCGTTTTTTGTCAGATAAGAAGCGTTTGTCTACATGAACAACCACCCAGGGCCCTGGAGAAGAACGGCTTTACTGAGCGAGTTCACCTCTCACTTCAACTGTAAAAACATTTAATACACAAAGTGGATACCCTGTTGGGATAAATTGTCGCAGCTCAGCTGAAAGCAAGGAGCTGTAGTTAAGGAACTAGCAGCGATTTTAGAAGTTTACACCATTTTTCTTCTCATCACAAATCTTGTTGCTTTTATTTAACCCGCTCAATCTTTTTACCATAATGAAAAAATACTCTTGTAGGAGCAGATAGCCATTGCTTAGTGCTTTAGACTGAAACTGAAAAGTTACATCCCTTTAAAATGATTGCTACTAAAGCATGTCATGCATGTGACTTTTTTTTAAAAATCAGCCTAGACATGTACAAGCCCTGGGATAAGCAGGTGCAATTCAGTTGATTTTAACAGAAATGCCTCTTAGACCAGGGATGGAGATGGCCTAAGACTACTTTTGCCTTTACCTCCCTTCCTCCTAGTCTACATTTCTGAGTTGCACCAAGCCAGGAGCTTAAAATAAGATAAAGGGCCAAATCTGAATCCATTTATTTATGTGATCAACTTGATTCACACAAGAGGCCCAGTTCTGCTCCCAATGAAGGCAATGGGATGATTCATCTGAAGTTGCGAGTGCACTGCCGTCCGTGTGAAGGTCAGCTCTTGCTCCCTGTTTCAACTTCCTTGCTCCTCTGCCAGCCCAGATCTGCTTAAATAGGGACTTTGCCATTCCCTCACCTGGCCCTGACCTAGAACACATTTCTGGCAAGAGGGGCCATGGCTGGTGTCTCCGGGTATCTCTAAATCCTAGAGATACCCGGAGACACCATCTTTAATGCTTTAAGCATTTAAGGAATGCTTTAATCATTCCTTGGTGTTAGTAACCAGGTAATGCAACTTAGAGGCATCCTGAATTGCATCTCAGAACTGGCCCAAGGATTGGAGAGGTGTTGATAGGTGGCAACAACAACCCTCTTCTCTTCCTAGGATGCATCCAGGTGCAAAAGGGGCTAGTGCTGAGGAACTAACTCAAAGCTGCCAATTTTACAGTGATTTACAGAGGATTTGGTGTCTTTGATTTAAGCAAAGGAACAGAGGGTACCTGTACATAAGGGTGAAGGCTGCCCCAATGCACTGTAACGCAGCATATTAGAGCAGACTTGATTAATCGAGTCTGCTGGAGCGTGGTAATTACTGCACTCCAGCCAGCCTCTGCCTCTCATGTATCAGTGTCCCTGCGCTTCAAAATGGTGGCAGGGTGCTTTAACTAAAGCTCGTTTGACAAGCTTTAGATAAAGCGCTCCAGCTGCCATTTTGAAGCACAGGGATGCTGACATGTGAGGTGTTCGGGGTGCTTTAATTAGAGCAGCTCAAAGGTTCTCTAATTAAAGTGCTGCCCCCCAGAGCATGTGTAAAAGCACTCAGCGTGCTGAAAGGTGCTGCCTGGGCCATCTAGTCCAGTCCCCTGTTTTTGCAAGCAGTTATGTAATAAGTATTTGTCCAAAGTGGTTTACAAGAGCATCCACTCTGGCCTCACATGACGACCCCAAAGCACCTGCCATTGTCCAAATACCTGCCCCGAAGCATTCTACCCCATTTTTCAATTTTGAACTGTGACTCCTAGTGCTCACTGTACCTCTCGTCCTTGTCTGGAGGTGCCTGGCAGGGAGGGAGTGTAGGGAATTGAAGCTGTGGTGGCTGGATGTGCTGGAGACTTGAACTTGGTCAGTATGTATGAACTGTGGCCACTGTGAAAGAGAACCTCATATCCATTGAGCGTTATAATCAGGGTCACATAAAGTAAAGAATTCTTAGCAGTGCCTTTATTCAACATATTTTATTAGGCAAGGAATTCAAAAGGCCCTTATTTGAGAACTTCAAAGCAAAGCATAATACAACTTAAATGATGGCTATCTGAAATTATTTAAAAAAGAAGTGAATAATACATAACGTACAATAAATGCTTAACGTACACCAGTGTAAGACAACATGTGATACCAAGCATAACATTATGAAATAGGATACAGGGAAGAGTATTAATAATAATTATGTACAGTTGAGTTTGGTTATTTGAAAATCTGAGTTGTCTCTAGTGGGCTCAGCATAACACAGCAGCTGTTGCAAAGATGAGACTTTGCTGAAATAAAGACACTAATATTTTGGAGGTCATTGGATGCTGAGGACCTGAGGCAGTTCAATAAATAGTCTAGCCAACTGTGCTATAAACAAGGCATAGTATTCCAGGAAATGGCAAACAAGCTAATGAAATATCTTGAGACTAAAACAAATAAGTTCTTTAAAAGTAAATGAATAGGTTTTCAAACATCTGAAGAAAATATATAACCTATATGCATGTGACTTGCAAGACTTCTGTCTACTGCCCTATTTTTTTATATATGTTTTTAAGAATATGAAAGTGTTGGAAAAATGTCAAATGATAGTGTAAGTTTTCATAGTCTGTGCATGCTGCTTACATGTTGTACTATACAGAAATAATTTACAGCTTGCATTCAGCAACAGACACCATTTGAAGGTCACTTATATTTTTGCTTCTATTAAAAAGCACAGGTCACTTCATTTATGTAGCTTAAAGTGAGGCATTTTGTTTTACAGGCTGCCACCTTGCAGAGAGAATATTTGAAAGCAATTTGCAAATAGCTGATTTCATTCTTCTTTCAGTCGGGATCAACTCCCCTGAAGTCAAAATATTTACACCACTGCGAAGCCTGTCTAAGTAAGAAGAGATTCAGACCCAGTGTTTCTATCCCTAGGCCCAAGGATGCGATGCTTTGTCTACACCTTTCTTCTTGCAGGTAGTTCTTTGTCAGCCCGTTGCTACCCTTACACTGTTTGCCTTCACTTACTTCGCTAAGTTCAAAGTACAGACCAAACCTTAGCTCAAAGTACGTGCTATTTTAGCTCTTCTCTATGTTTTAACCAGTAACCTCTCACCAAAAGATGACTTGCGGTGATTTGCTTTATTAATATAATCAAGAATTCATTGCTTAGTGTAGCAAAATTACAGTGTTACCTTTAATGAGTTGATGCTCGTGTAGAATGTAAATGCCTGATTAGAATGATCCCCTTTCACTGATGAGCTCTCTAGTCCCCACTTTTGCTTAAACCATGGGGTAGGTCTCCTGGCTCTGTTAGCTGACTGGTATTAAAACAATATTTCAGTGTTTCAGGAATACTTTTTGCCTTTACTAATTAAAGACTTTTCCTAGGCTGCTTTAGGGGAAGCAGCATAAACATCAATATAATCCCTCTGAAAAGCAGAAATGTGTATAACAGTGACTACAAGCCACTGCTGTTGTTTCTTTGATGTTCTGATTTCTCTTGGAAATGAACAGTTTTCAGTAGCATTTCTCAAGATACCTCTTTCAGATTATACTGATTTTTGGTTGGTGATGGCATAGAAATAAAACAATAGCAACAGATAAAAGGGAAAGACTGTTACATAAGCCTTTGCAATATAGCATTTATAGTACATTACTTAGCAAATTCATTTTTTGCAGAGACGTTAGACTCTCTGAGCTGCTTCGCAAAGCACTCTGGCTTTACTTCTGTTATCGCCTTGGATAGTAGATCACTCTGTCTTTCTTTTCTGAGAGCCTAACTTTTAAAGACATCAAGTAAAACCTCCCCTCTCTTTTTGCTCTGTCTTTCCTTTAATCACTGGTTGCAATGTAGAGTTGCTAACTCCTACCCCCCACACATATGTATGTATATCTACATCCAATATATTCATACCTTTTCTGTCCCCAGTAAAAAGCCAAATGATTACAGCATGCATCGTCCCACACTCATGCCATAACAGCAACATATTATTTCTTTGAATGTCTTTCTCATCTCCAGACTCCGGAAAGCGTAAATGAGGGGGTCAATTATGGAGTTGCACATAATCAGGACAAGATATGTGTTAAAGTGGGAAGTGTAGCATACACAGTATGGGTTTGTTGGGCAAGAAATAATGAGAATGAGATGAAGGAAGAAAGGTGCCCAGCAAACAATGAAGACCCCAAGTAGGATGGTGATTGTCACAGCTCCCTTCATGCAAGTACGCTGGTGGGGCACCCCATCTACTGGGAGGGCTGCAATCCGTTTAACATGCAGGCGTGCAAACAAGAACATGTGAACATAAAGGGAGGCCATGAGAAGAAGCATGGTGAAGAACATGGTGATGAGACAGACAATAACAGTTTTGCTTTCTGAGTAGACAATGAAGATGATGCCACAGATTATGCAAGCAATCCAAATGACCACAATGAGGATTAAGGCTTTCCTCACAGTCATAATACTGTGGTAACGGAGAGCATAGAAAATAGTAATGTACCTGTCAATAGCTATAACCAACAAGTTGCAAATGGAGGCTACCAAGGAGATACAGATCATTGAGTCAAACACATTGTCCATATGCTGGATAAAGTGGTCATCAATAACCAAATAGCCATTGCTTAGGATTGCAATCATGATAGTTTCCAGGGCATTTGACATGCTCACTAGCATGTCTGCCACTGCCAAGCTGCAGAGGAAAAAGTACATGGGAGAATGTAGATTTCCATTCTTCAGCACTGCGAGGATGACAAGGATGTTTTCCAGCAGGCTGATGATCCCTAAAGTCAAGAAGACTTCTGCTTTAATGAAGACTTGCTCACAGAATCCGTTGCTGCTTCGGTTGTTGAGGAGGATTGAGTCATTGAAGTCCTCAGTGATATTAAGCAGCACAGGCTGAAATGTAAGCGTACAGTGTGTAGTATTCATTATCAACAAGGGGCTTGATTTCACAGGCAGCTCTAGAACTGGTAGAGTTCAAGGTTTGGGTTTGTTTTTGGTTTTTTTTTTTTTTTTAAATCCTTTAAAAATATATCTGCTTATTAGAATGAGACGAGACTTCGCCTTAGTTGCTTAAAAATATAAATATTTATAAGTCTTCATTAAAAATGACTTTTGGGTCAGACATGCAGCTTCTGCTTTTCTTTTTTCTTTCGAGTAAAAATGAGCTGCAAATTTTTCAGTCATCCTTCTGCGCTTTACTGTTTCTAGTTCTCCTATAAATTAAAAGCAAATAGTTTTCCGATCTGTTACCAAGAGCTGGGACCATCGCAGGCTTCCTGGTCGGAAAGCATGTTGCAGCTCAGTGAAATCTCTCTTGCTAGTTCAACCGCACGAAGGGGGGGAAAAAAAAGAATTGAGAGATTTATACATTCATGACAGCAAAACAACTCCTACTTATCTTTTGTGCAGTACAACGGCCATTAGAGAGCAAGCACCTTTTTGACTGACAGCTGCAAACATCAGGTACAGCAGCCCCTGGTTGAGTGCCTTTTTGTCTTGTACAAAACTGTCTGGTGCCCTCTGCAGATCAGAAGGAGAATCTGTTTGCACTGAAAATTAGAACTGTCCAGAAAACAGAGTTTCTGCCTTGTCGGGGAAAGGGGGGAAAAAGATCACTATTTTAGGGAGGGAAGTTCTGGGAAAAAAACAGTTCGATTTTGATCACTTTAACTTATTCTAAATGCAAATATTGGAATATAATGTGTTCTGACTTCTTTCCTTCTGGAACGGGAACCTGACCCATGGTCATTTTGCACATTTCTGTGCTATCAAAGGACTGGGCTGGGAGCTCTGCAATGAAGCACAGCATGCCTGTTCTCTGTTATTCCTTGAAAGCGTGCAAAGTATCTACGCTTAGTGTGGTGTTAGGTGTGTGCCAAATGAACATGCCTGAGAGGGTCAGGTCACTGGGGCATTCCCAGTGCTGCTCTCAGGGTGTAGCATGTGTGCAAAGCAGGTGCGCTCTGCTTTACTACAGCTCACTCTAGTGCGGTTTTTATTTGACTGTGTAGACATGCCTTTTGAGCTGAATTTTCCCCAAGTCAGTAAGTCAGAGTAGGGAATGAGAGGAAGGTTAGAGCATCAGCAGCATGACTAAAGATGCTCCTTTTGGGAAGGGGAAGCTCGGGCCAGAATGAAGGTGCCACTCTGTGATTGTGGAATACTTTGCAGCAGTGGCAGGGCATCCAGATACCACCCCCTGAAGGGACTCCTGACAACTTTAGCGGGGTCAGGGGAATAGAGGGATTGGGATAGTACTGCCAGTACCTAATGCTCCTGGAAGAAGGGCAGCACTTCCTCCAGATCTATCAGACTGTGGCTGCTGCACCTACAGCACTCTGGTGGGAGAGCAGACTTTGTAAGGGAAAATAAGTCAAAGGTGAGATGGATGATATTTGGTAGTTGGTTGGTAGCGGTCTTCTGACAGCTCTCAGCCCATTGTATTTTTCACCTTAATCTGCAGCTTCAAGCAAATGCGTGGACACAGTCACGTTGACAGGGGCAGACTACAAGCTGCAGCAGATCATGCTGTGACTTCACGTGGCTCAGCTGAAGCAGTGTGTAGTCCTGTAGTGATCCAAGGTGAGCAGGCATAGCACTACTCTGCACCCTGGTCAGCTATGGACTTTTTTATGTTTGAGTTGAATTGCACTGGGGAAACTCTGAACGAACTGCAAAAGCCAGAACAAGAGAAAATGCTAGTGTCAACCCCCCCGCCGCAAATTTGATTTTAGTACTGAGAGATTCTGAATTTTTTTACCCATAGAATTTTGTTAAATTGGCATGGCACCATGAAAGACTAATTGCCTTTCTAAAATGTTTTGTAAGGTGTTCAAAACATCTATATGTATCTATGCACCTGTGCATGTGTACATGTGCACACACAAAATCATATATAATCTTTTAAAGGCATGTGACAATGTGGTATGTAGTAAAAGCCTAATTGCCCTGAGTTTGGAGTGATATGCTTGCCTTAAAGGAGGGGAAAAAAACCCTTTAAAAATGATGGGCAAGATTTAGAGAAACTGGCAAAAGGAGGCATAAATGACACCTTTCTGCATCAACATAGCAGTCAGCTGCTGTGGGATGCCCCCCAGGGAGTCAGGGCTATGACTCAATAGATCTCCACTGTGTTGTGCTGAATTTTTGCTAGGGCCGAGGGCAGCTTTAATTTGCTGTTGCGTCTGAGTTGGCATCCTTTTTGCAGAGGTGGCTGAAAGGATATGTTTAATGAGCAAATCCTGTGTCAGTATTGATTTCCCAGTGATCATTGCACATTGTAGTTCCCTCGGCAGAGAAAAGATTCTGGACATTTTCAATGCTTGAATATTGTCTCATGCCAAAAGCCTGTGCCTGAATTATCATTTAGGAGGGATAGCATTATTTTAAACAAAGTTTGCTGGGTAAAACCAAGAGAGGACTCCATACATCTAAAATGAAGCTGGGCCTTTATTAAGAAAGTTATTTACAGAGGTGCTTCACCTGCAGGTAGCATTAAAGACATTGCAAATAGATCTCACGATGCCTTCTCTAAACCTTCCCTGCTGCAACCTGTTCTTTTTCCTTCAAGTTCTGTGCAGATTGTGCAGCTGGCTGCAGCGTGGAGCTGGGGTGGGCAGCATGTGGGTGTGAAGAAGGGTGAGGAGTGAGGGGACCGCCTTAGGACCCCCATGGTTTGCAGCCCCTGCAGGCTGTGGCGCTCAGGCTGCTCATAGCTAACACAGGCTCCTGGTGGGGTGCAGCTCCAGCCAGCACTGCACATTGTGGCAAGGGCCGCAGCCTCTGCCAAGCAGTCTGTATCGTTGGCACTCCCTGCTACATACGCGCAGCCCCTGCACTGGCCGGGCACGGGAGGGAGGCCCTGCATACTGGAGCTGGCTGCTTGCCTAGCTGGGGCTGCATGGCACAGGAGGGAAGCCCTAGGTGTTTTTCTCTGGTGGGGGGGAAGCAGCTGGCTCCAGCACCTGGGGCTTCCCTCCCATGCCTGGCGAGTGGCTGCATGTGAGTGGCAGGGAGCACCAGTGATACAGGCTGCACCCCTTGTTGTGATATGCTGGTTGGAGGTGCGCCCCGTTGGGTGCCTGTGCCCTGAGTGCCCAGCCTGCTGCTGCTGCACCATGGGAAGAGTACAGGAAGTCCCTAGCCCCCCCCCCCCAATCCTTTCACACCCCACAAACCCCCCCACACCCACACTCTGCCCCCACAACCCTCCATATATACACAACCCTCCAACATACCCTATGCCCCCAATCCAAACCCTGCCATACACACATACACCCTCTCATTTAAAAAAAATATTTATCTTTGATTCTATCTCCTACTTCCTTGTGTCTCTGCTTACAAAGTCTTTGTAGTTTTATTGAGTTTTAAAGTTTCTCCAGTCATGTTTCTATTCACTGGTGATCTCATATGGACATAAGCAATTAGGAAGGCTGTCCTTTCACATCATTCTCACTAACTGTGTCCTAATGACTGATTTTGTGGACAGTATTCTAAAATCCCTGAGCACATAATTGTGTATTGTTTTGTAGTTGGTGATCTTACATATAGGTTTTTAAATAATTGTGGGACATCTGCTTAGCGTTCCATTTACAAAAACTATTCATCCAAAATGATAGAATTTCTACTCAATTGAAAGACCAGTTTCACCCAGGACAACAGGTATTTACTGCCATAGGTCCGTAATTTTAGTAAACCAAGACAGTAAGTCCTGAATTTAACTTCCAGAAGTGGGGATTCTTCAGGGCCCAAGTCTGGTGGCTAGCAACTCTTAATCAGCCAATTAAGTTCTGGACTTTCAGCAGCTCGCTAATTAATATATTAGAGATTTTAAACCAGCTTCTCTCAGTCACTTCTCTAAACCAATATTGATTTATTTCAAAGTAGCTGGATTGCAAAACCAAACCAAACCTGTTTTATTTCCTTTCTGTAAACTCACAGTGGGTGCATCCCCATTTGTGCTTTAATGCACCTTAGCTTATTTTAATGTGAATTAAAGTGTCACAAAGAAGTGTTCTTTAGCTAAAGCGCATTAAAATAGGCTAACGCACCTTTTTCTAGCACCTCACAATGGAGATACTAAATTTAATGCACATTACCTGAAGTGCATTAATGAACATGTAGATGCACCCAGTGCACTGTAAGAATGGGATTTTGGCCCTTTTTGGGAGGGACCACAGTTCTTGGCTGTGTGCCCAGAAACAAACAATCATTTTTCTTTTATGTACTTTTTTGTTTTCCATATTTTGTCTTAGTTCATTTCTGAGTTGCCATGAAGGGAAGATCCCTGATGGATAATTAACAGTAAAGTTCATATGAAGGCAAATTAGAACTGGAGATGACTTTCTTAACAGAGCTTCTTTTTTTTTTGAAATGCTGATGAGAACTGAAATGTTCATCAGGATGTGCTGGTTCTATCAAGTTTTGAGGGCAGCCAGGGAGCCAAGCTTTCCTGTGAGTCCAGGTTCTCTTCCTCTCCAGGCAGCTGGCTGCTGGACTCCAAGGGGGCACATGTCCCTGGACTTCCCCCATCCAGTGGTGCAATTGGTATGGGATTTTAAGAGCCACCTAACAGCCTTGGTATAAGTCTTGCTGGGACTTGTGCTCAGGTGTCCAAGGCAGGTTTGACAGTCTTACCGTCATATTTCATAATATTTCATAACTTCTTCAGGGTGAGCAGATTTGGTGCTGCAAATTTGATTAATGCATATCCAGTATCCAGCTCGGTATCCAGTACACTGGGCAGTATCCAGCTCAGCTGACAATGATTTATGCCACTCTGAATTTACCTTCTGCTGAGATAAGTAATTTATTTCCTCATTTTTTGCTGTAAATTATTGAACTCACAAATGCTGAATCAGAAAGCTGAAGCAATCTGAGTACTAGGCCTGTGTGAGTACGCAGCTATTTGATCCAGCTTTGGATCC